TTGCACATAGGAAAAGTTCTTTACCCAGATTTTAAAATGTACTGGTTTAAATGTGTTCTTTCAAAGTGTGTTTCTCCAGAAAGTGTTGCTTTGATTATGTTCATGGAGCTAGATGATTTTTTTCTGAAAAAAGGTTTCTGAAGTGGCTTCACGTAAGTCTTTTGACAAATAAATGTCAAATAACAAATAAATGACAGTAAATGACAAATAAATATTCTAATACGTTACAAAATTTTTTGAGAATATGGTGATTATTGGAGATCTTGACTCATAATTTTGGTAATTTGTGTCTAGCAAAGAATGAATCAAGTAGATTTTACAGAATAGTAGAGGTTGTTCTCTTGTATGACATTGACAATCAGAAAACCGGAGGGAAAATACAAGTTCTGTAAAGATCTTGCGCACCAAAAAAAATTGCTGCTAGGAACAAAGTGGATTCAGCATGGTGCTTGTTTGCAAGCCAAACTTATAACTCTTTCAACCATTTTTAAAATTGTGTTGGTACTTCTTTTTTATGTTAGATTAGTGCAAGATAGCATAACCTGAGAGTGTGTGAGCTGCTGCAAACAGATGGACCGTGGGTTTGTACTTCAGGCTATCTGTGTACTTTGGGTGTAAAACACTGTGTGTTTCATACAGTTGTTTGAATGCATGGGACAGGGGATGAAGGACTGCAAATGAAGATACTGATCCAAGGCTGTTATGACTTGCACGACTTCACTGAGGCCACAAATGCCGTGGTAATTTATACCATCTGGGAATATGATACATCCTAACAAATTTAAGATTTTCTCAATAGAGCTGATGAGCAAGCAGAAGCTTGATAAATCCTTTCATGTGGAAAGCTCTGTATGGTTCAAATATTTACATGCATGTTTCAGGATGGACATGCACACTCTTCTCTCTGTCTCTCTTACTCTGCGAGGTTTCTCCTTTGAAATGCTCAGATTCCTGAGGAAAAGTGCTTCCCAGCATTTTAAAAATGAACAGTCCATGGAGGAAAGGAATTAATGCAGGACAGGTATCAAGACATTTATCTGCAGAAGTCATAAGCAATGTTGATAGTCTCTCATAATCTGAAATATCGCATCTCTTTTAGATTTATCCTACTATGTATTGTAAATTAGTGAATATTTAGTGAAACATCAGTGAAGAGCTCCTGCTGTTATTCCATGTCCCTGAGTTCAGTCTGTATCATGCTCTGGCTGGATATTTTTGTGTGAAATACAGGCTAGCACATACAGGTTATTTGAAATTCCTTACAGTGGCTCCCTACACAAGCCGTGCAGGTTTTCAAGTGCTAACATACCTAGGTAAGTAATGTAACTGTTGTCACATACTGAGATTTTATGTGTCTTAAAGTGCACTGTTTGCTGCTGGCCATTTTACACCCAGTACTGCTGCTGAAGTGTAGAGACACTTCCAGAGATGCTATATCTCTTTCTCATTTTATTTTCTTACACTAAAAATCATCATCCTTGGCATGTTCAAAGCAGTGAATGTGCTTTGAGTGTCACCTGCAGCAGCATTCTTCATCAGCACAGTCTGAGGATCACCTAAATCCTCATGTGGTGATTTATACTTGCAGTTTTTCCAGGGTACTGGATGCCTTTTTTTGGGCATCTGTGTCAGACTGGTATCTAACTACTGGCCTCAGGGCACATCATCCAGGACCAGATACTGGCTCTGTTCACTTCTGAAGCATTCTGGAGCCATGATTCCACAGAGATGAGATGAATACACTTGATGACTGAATTTCTGTCAAATTCACAAAAGCACATCACTTAGAGTTTATAGACTCTATGCTATCTTCACCAGGACAGTATAAACTTCATCCAGTATAATATTTTTCAATATTTCCACTCTCTCTGTCCCCAGAATTTAATAAGCTGACAATATACTGAATCAGCTCAGGGTGGCTTGTGGCCACATTGGTTTTGATCTAGTAGTAGCCAGCCTAAAATTGTCACATCAAATCCTCACCCCAGGTGTATGCTTTGTGGTCAAGAGCACGGTAATGAAAAATGGGCTTCCTGCCTGGCTAATCCAGGGCTAGGATACAATCACCCATTTTGTTCAGAGCACCAGCTTTTAGCACTGTCAGAACTAGAGCCAAGGAAAAGAAATACAGGCTGCCTTGAATGATATGAAGTCATCGATTGACACTATATTGAATTTTTATTGTGTTTCTTTTATATATATATATTTTTAAATTATTTTTTTGTTGTTGTTGTTCAAACAATCCCAACAGAAAGAGTGGCTGCATACACAGAGGAATATTTCCTTTTTGACTTTATGAGCCCCCTTGGAGGAGGTTGACCATCCCACTCTATGGGAGTTAAAAGTTATTGTGTAAGCTGTTCTGGCCTGCTAGATGGTGCTGGAAATGAGCTAATTTCTAATCTCTTTTTCAGGCAAAAAACCACTGTCTAAAGAGCCACTGATTCTGATTCAAAGTGTAATCATCGCTGTTTTCAGAGTCTCTATAAGACTATGGCAGCCAAAATTTTGAGCAAAACTATGGATATCTCTAAAAATAATGTTATTGGATGTTGTGGTCATTCATTGTGCAGCTGTAGTGTCCAAGCTGGCCCTCTCCCTACTCCTTTCAGAGATACTGAGACAGAGTCTGCTATGCAAAACAAAAAAGGGTCTTGGCTACTGTGGTCCTGAAGTTCTGAACCTAAAGGTACAGATACCCTAAGAACATTAGTTACAATAGCTGCTGTAGAATTCAAGGATGTCAGCAGGAATTAATCAATAAGATGTTCTCCAGAAGAACTCCCTTCTCTTTTATTATTCCTTTTATCCTCACTGCAGAACTAAATTAAATGTATACCAAAAGGTCTACTGGAAAAGGAAGAACTTTGAGAGAAAATATCAAACTCAAGTACATCTGAAAAAGAGATATTAATTCTGATATGTGTCAGATCCCGAATTCTTCCTTTCTGAGTGAGCAAATTAATCTAAAATGGAATGAGACAGACTGATTCCAGAACAGGTTTTCACACATGAGTTCTGCAACAGTTATTGCAATGTATGTTTACTCTGTCTTGCTCAGAATTAACTGACAAGTACAGACAAGTCATTCCATTAGACTTGAGCAAATTGCAAAAACATTTAATAAAGATAATTAGTTATAAAATCTGCAGTGGCATTTGTAGTTAATTTTGGTTTTGCTTTTCACAACATTTTTTGAGCTGGCACTAAACCCCCATATTTTTTAAATAATAGAGAACCTTGTCAATTCTTCTGCGAGAGTGTATGCCCAAGTATTTATAACAGAAATTTTGATCTGAAAATTGTTAAGGAATCAGCAACTCAGGGACCATTTGAAACTTAAATATTGAAATCTCTGTTAACAGCACTCATAGCATTAAAGATGTAAATTATTCCAGAACAGCCTAGTGGGTCACATGAATGTTTACAATTTTCATAAAGGGAACACAAAGAGAACTGTCAAAGGCATGAACTTATGCATCCCCTTTTGCCCAAACCGTGGCCATTGCCACCTTCATTACCACATATTTGTCCTTCAGTGTACACTAGTCCTGATCTCTAAAGCAACAGGAGAATGACGCTCTTGGTGCATTTTGAGTCAAGTTTCAAATCAATGTTGACTTTGCCCCTGACATTTCAATGGGAAGCACACCTCCCTATTCAAAGGATGAATTTTGGCACTGTCTCCTTGAGTTAATCCTTTCAAAAGTGCTTCAACATCAACGGTAGTGTTTGGCTCTGCATGCATAATTTCTGGGCAAAAACTCAAAACTTACTAAGCAATAATCTTTTTGTTTAATCATTCACTGCAAGCATGTTACATAAAATGGCCTGATAACAGAGTCACGAGACTATTTTTCCACTGCTATTATACAAATTATGAGATTTAAAAAATTTTGGAAGATAGGCAGAGCAAAGTTAAATTTCTGTGAGAAACAAGATTTTTTTCAGACCAATGGAATTAGGTCTTGTTAAGTAACTAGTGCACTTTTTCCCATGGCCTACTGATCATCTTTTGAAAAACTCATCTGCTGAAGGGTTGCTGGATGTTTTTGTTCAGTAACAGCAGGGGTGAGGCAGACATGATGCACCATTAGGAGATGCACAGGCTTTTGTGGAGGCAACACTTGTGTACTATCAAAAAACTTTAACCAGTTCAGAAAGTCATCATTGCATCCTCACTGGGAGAGATTCTTGGGTGTGAGATGAGGAAATGCTGCTGCTCTAAGGCCCTCAGAAAGTCCATACTAGGAGCTCCATTGTGTCAGTCTCCACACAGACATTTGCATGGTATGGAAATACACTGTCACTGCTACATGCTCCTTTGGCTGGCAGAGATTTCTCCCATCTATCCTTCTGTTGTGCACTTAGAAGGTGCTTAATGTTGTATGACTCTTCTGCTTCCTTGTTGTTTCTTGTTTGCCTCTTGCTTAAAACAACCCGTTGCCCATGGGCTGGAATGGTCACTGCTTTCTCCCCATGTGATATGCTCTTCATGCCTATGGTTCAGCTGCCACGAACCCTCTCCTCTCTGAGCAGCCTGCTGCAAGTCATGATCAGCCAAAACGAGCCAAAATCCATGTTTGCTCTGCAAGATGTTGCAAATGAAGTACTATTCATGCCGAGAAGGCAAAAACACAGTGGTAGAAAATGCAGGTGTGACTGACGAATGTTATTGCAGAAGTGAGCGCTGTATTTGGGCAAGCCTTGGAGTTGTTTATTGTGCAAGTATGAAGCAGTTAATTGAATAGAAATCAGTCCGGAAAAACAGGAAAGAAAGAACAGACTGTCTTGAGGTAATTCACCATTCAGCAAGCATGGGGGATTGTTACTGGACATGCCAAAGCTGCCATCCTTGACTTTCAGCTCCCTAGCAATTGGCCTAGCAGCCTGCCTTGAAACAAGGCAGGAGGGAGGGCAGTCTATGAATGGCCTTAGAGAAGGGAGATGAAGAAAGTTAGCTGTGCTTGTTTTTTCCCAGACACATTTTTTTTGGGAGGTGGTGGGAGAATAAGAGGAAAAGCAAGCAGAAAGATGATTTTCATCTAGGCAATTTTGAAGATCCTAGGCTTTCTGGTAAATATTCCTGTAGGTACCATAGTTTTGAGAAAGAATTGTTGAGAAAGATGTTGAGAAAGAATTTTGTTTCCAAAGAGCTAAATAATCCATGTGGAGCTAAATAATCCAAGTGTCACAGACACTTGAGCATCACTCTGCAGCCTGTAGCATCATTGCAGGTGCAGAGACTTACAGCTCCACACTCACCCCCAGAGCAGAGCCACTCCAGCTTAGGAAACCTCAGGACCGTGGAGTCTGATGTCTGAGACACTGTGTTGCCAGTTTTAGCAGGGAAGATAAACTCTGCTTCAAGAACTGCAGGTAAGGTTGCAAATGGTTGTAGCTTCCAGCAATTCTCCTGTGTGAAGAAGCCTTGCTATTTTTGTTTACAGGCACTCTCTAGGCATTCAATATTTCAAGGCTCTCTTATGCACTTTTTGGCTGTAAGGTTTTCCACAAAAACCCATTTCTGACAGTATTAAACCTATAGGTAAACCAGGTTAATCCATATAATGTGTTTTGTTGTAAAAATTTCTCAGTTTGAAGAATGGCATGCAATCAAAACCTGGGGTCTTAAGCTAGGGCTTCATTGTTGTTAATGCAATCCAATTTGTCAACTCCACTTTTAAGTCTCTGTTTTTCAAGATTTGTACCTAGATGGTATTTCCTTCTTTTCCAGCACTGGCCTACAGATATTTCACTGTCTTTTCATTTTCTTTGCCATCTCTGGAAACAACTTTTCCCATTACAGCAGTATGATAAAGTATTCTTAAAGGGTTCACCTTCTAGTATTAGTCTCTGAAGCCCCCCTTCCTTCATAAAATAAATTTTTTTCACCTCAAAAGTATGTTCAATGTACGTTCTCTCTGTTTCATATTACATTTATTATGTATAAAGAGGTTACCTGACAGATAAATTGCTTTAGAACACGTGTGTACATGTTTCTGTATGCTTTTGTGCATATATGTATATATATATATATATATATATACACAAAAACCTACTCATAGATGCATAACGTACATGCACACATATTCTTTCCAAAAGAAATGCTAGTATAAACAGGTGCTATTTGTTCTTTCAGACTGTTCTCTGGAATGTAAAACAAGTTTATACAGAAGGCAGTATTGTTAGTAGCTAGAAAATTTTTGAGAAACGAGGAAGAAGATGTTTGGCAACTTTATGATGCTGGAAGCAAAATAAAGTGAGGAAAAAATATACCTGGAGAATATGAATATGCTTGTTGCTAACAGCAACAAGCACCTGGAGGTTTACATTGCTTTGACTGAGCTATGGGAGGAGGGAATGTTTCCAATATGAAGTGTTATTTTAGCATGCTTTCCAGTGTGTCCCATCCCCCTGCTCTCAAATCCAAACTGGGAAAAGGATTTACCGTGTAGGGTTGATGTAGTAAAAAGAGAAAAGGATTCTCATTGGAATGAAGAAAACAAGAAAACAGGCATGAAGAAAAAGTCTTCTGAATTTTATATGAAGACATGCATTTCTAGGTAAATTGTTTCCTACAGTGCTTGCAGGTAACTCTCCAACCACTCCCATTAATTGGGAAGTAGTTTAAGGCACTTTAGACAAAAGAATGTAGATGCAGTCTTTACCTGTAGGTATTTGTTATATTTACACATCAATGTCAGAAAAAAAACCAACTTTCTTAGAGCAAATCTAGCTTACACTGGAAGTAATTTCACTGGCATTTGAACAAAAAACCAGTGTCCTCATTTAACTGTGAATTAAGAAGGTAGCATTAAAGGCTGTGATTATTTTTGCATAGATATATAATTTGGAAGGGAATCTGCTCCTGTCTCAGAGATTTGTAGGTCTCACCAGCACTCAAATTCTGTGCTTCAAAGGTGAATGTGCAAAATATAGTCTGTCCTTATAGTCTCATTTATTTATGATTTATAAGCTCTGTTGTCTTGCCTAATAGAGAATAGAAGAAACTAACTTCATTGAGAGCTGGTTATAAGCACTGTGAACAGAAACCTTTGTTCTCAAGAGCCAGCCACTGGAGCATGTTAGCAGCACATTTTCCAGATGAACTCCTTTCATGCTTTATTTTGTGACTAGAATGAAGAAACTAAGCAATGGGTTCCAAAAGCCTTCTATTTGTTTGAAGTGTCTTTTGGCAACTGAAAATATGTTTACAGACTTTCAAGCTTCCTGGGAGATGCTAGCCAGACTGCTGAGTCATGGTTTTGTGGTTGTTTATTTTAATTTCTTCCTGATATTTCACATAATCAGTCTCTGAATATGTCCTGCCCATCATAGGAGTTTATTCCCTGACAAAATCACTGGCAAGTAAGGAATAAAATGAGATAACTCCAAGCAAGTAAATTGAGCTAACTATATTTTGGGTCTTGCAGTCCTGTATTGTCAGTATTGTTCCTGATAAGGTGATTAACCTTTACAAACCATAATAAATGTTATTACAGCTGCTTTCACATGTGGAAGTAAATAGAGAATGACAATATTAAGTCACTATATGAGCCATGTAATAGATCAATAGTAGGCTGAAGTCAGGAATCCTTTCCATGTTTTCATGTAACCCCAGGACTTTCTGCCTTGTTGATTATTAAAGACTTTTAGCAATCTTCAGCACTGTGCCAAAACACATTTTTTCATGTTTTCCCCTTCCCCTTCCTTTAATTTAGTTTTTAACTCCATATTGTTGTAAATGTATGTAATTGTGGCATTGCAGCAGTGTTTACCTAAGGCACATGAATGGCTTTGAGCAGAGGTGGAGAGACTGAAGACAGTTTTGCTTAGTGCACATTGGTCTTGAGGTGAAAAGCTCGGTGAGGGCTTAAAACTTTTGGTGCTTTGTATCTTTGGTATTCATGTCGGCCCAAATGATTTTCCTTTTGAAATATTGGCATGAAGAGCCCTCCTCTGCAGAGTTGTCTCTCCTGGACTTTGTCAGATACCCCTGGAAGCTGAAGCCTATGGAGACAATACAACAGAGTCCAGGCATACAAGTCAGTGGGAAATGCAAAGGCATAACTTGCCTTTTCTAATTCAGCTTTTTTGCTGAACCACAGCCACCAAAAAAATCAAATGTTCCAGGTAAGAAAATACAAATGTGTGTGGACAGCAGAGATAGGGAAATCCTGTCACAGTCATTTGGCCTTGTGTTCCCTTGCATAATCCTACTGGCAGAGCTTGGCTGGCAGCAGCACAGGCCAGGTCCAGGTTGAAAAGAGACGCTACTAGAACACCTGCTCAAGTCATCACTGAGAAACCTGGAAAATTAAACCACCCTTTCTGCTGCTATGAGCTAATTTGCCCTACTTGCAAGTATAAGTCACCTGGTTTTTCAACGTTATTTTATTAAATGGAGACAAAGCCCATAGTGGCAGGTCAAAGATACAGCTACAACAGGCTTCAATGTGTATATCCAGTACATACCTGTGCATCCCAGTGCCTTATTTGGTCTTCTCCAATATATTACCAATTGCCTCTTCTTTGACACATTCTGTTTTTTTCAGCTCTTAGCTTAGAGTTGCTGCAGCACTGGGGACTAACTCTCTAAGAAATACCTGTACAAATTCATTTTCCAAGAGCACCCACTTAGTTATATTTTTATGATGGGTGTTTATGACTCTTTTTAGGTGTGATTTTTTGCATGTTGATGCTGAAATTGTTGCACCAGTTAGACATTTAACTCAAATTTTACCATACTAAAAATTACTTTTAGTCTCTGCTTTACTTTTTTTTTAACAAAAATGCCTTGTCCATGTCAACGACACATGTAAAATAAGTTTTTCAGGCTTGTCCCTTAGTCCTCTTCATTTACCTCCCTTATTTTATGAGCCATAATCAGAACTTGCTGCTTCTGGTTGTGTGTGGGGGGACTTTTCTGGACTTTGCTGTGTTGGGACTCTCTGTTATTTCCCATCCACCAAACTTAACAGTTGTGAAGATTATAACTGTATTATCTGAGAAGAGGCTGTTGTATGTCTAAAAGCCATTCATTTAAAAATCAACAGACAAAATATAATACCCCTGAATAATTCTTCTATTCAGTGTAGTCCCATTGTGATGTTTTACTGAGGTAAGGCTGAGGCTTCTCTCCCCAGATGAGACCCTGTTTCCCTGGCAGTTATGCAGTGTCATGCTGCCATGGCAACTTTGGATGCTGATTCTTCTCTCCAGAGCAGTGTTGTCTAAGGCACAGCTTCCTGACTCCAGAGTCTCAGTCCTGCTTTCTTTTATGCAGCAAAACTGGCAGTGGATTCAAACACTCAGCATCACGTTTTCATTGGTAGTTGCAGCAAGTACTGTCCTTCCTTGTTGCCTTGTTCTAACTGGTCTGTTTGTTGAAATGTATAAATGTGTAATATAAAAGTGATGAAAAAAGTAGTAAACTATGAGAATTCAATAAAATTATATTGATTTGGATTCCTGTAGGATGATGAGCTAGAGTGAAGATACAAGTAACTAACTCCAGTATGTTGCCCACTTGGGATGGATTCCTGCCTTCCCTCACTCCAGTGACTCTTACTCCTGCACAAGCCTGTTCCTTAGCCCTCCAGAAAACTTGGGGGGAAAATGAGTGGTCTTATATTTATTCTGCAAGGTTAGTGAGTGGAACTGGCTTATGGAATTGTCTGATGATTGGAAGGGCTAGGGTGAAGGTTGAAATTCATGGCTAAAACCAGGATTTACACAGCCAGGACAGGAGAGGTAGAAAGACAAAAAAGGGAGATGGAGTTGGAAAGAAGGGAAAAAATCTTTGCCTGTTTAGTAGTGGGAATATATTTGACCAGTTCAGCTGACTGGAACTGTGGTACTTGTATTTAACCTTAATTATTTCTGCTTGCACTCTCATCCTTTAGTTAGGCTCTTCTAATGATAAGGCCTTCATAGCAGGGAATGTGCATAGTCACGTGGGTGAACTCTGAGATCCTGTGGGAGCACTGATGCAGTAACCCTGGTAGGTCCAGCTCAAATCTTGGTAGCTGTTGGGTTGTTTCCTCCATTTAATGATTGTGTCTCTTTTTAGTGTGCATCATAGGAGTGATATCCTCTCTTGTTTAAAGAAAATAAACACTTAGTTTTTCTAGGTAACCTGCACTTTGCAAAATGGGCAGATCCAACAGGTAGAGAGCTTCCTGACTCGTAAAGCAGAAGCTGGGTGAAAAGCACAAGGGGATTGGAGCAATGGATGTTCCAAATATTTTGAGCATGCACAGAACCAAGGCACAAGTACAGGAAGAAGCAGAGAGACACAGGCATTCCGTGTTTTTGAGGTTGCAATCTTCAAACTACTCCACCTTAGATTTAGGCTAATCAGATTTTTTTAAGTCTAGTTCTTTGACATACTTTTGAAAATTAAACATTAATGACCTGCCACAACAGCTGGTGTCATAGTACAGACTGGTACTGGGCTCTGTGCCTTTGGGCTTAAGCCTTCTAATAAATCACAGAAGTATTTGCTTGCTTGTTGCTGCACACAGTGGATGAGGTGAAATATAAGTAGAGGCACTCCATACAGGGAATGACTTAAACTGTGCCTTTAGACATACCAAGTTCACTTAGTTCTTTGTGTAGTTTCATTTTGGAAAAGACCTGTCCTTCCTGGTGCAGAGTTAGCAGGGAATGAACTGTGGCAGCTGAGGCAACATTTGGCTTGAAGAGTAATAGCTGCCAACAGCTGAGTGCCTTGGGGTAACACAGCCTTGTCAGTTCTGCCTTGGCATGGGGACAGCCTTCAGCTAAAAGTTACTTCCCTCAGCAAATAGGTGTTACTGCAGAATAAAATTAAAACAAACAAATTAACAAAAAACCTTCTTTGTGTAGGACATCATAGTTACAAAGAAGAGATTTATTTTTATGGAAGAATTATTCAAGGATCATGAAACAGAAAACAAGCCAGCTTGAGGATGTTGGAAAGCATTGCACCAAAAACATCAATATAAATGTAGCAATTTGTGGAAAACATGAAATTAGATAAAGTGCTCAATTTTCAGTCATATCAGTAGGATAATTAGCAGCAATTAGGAAACAGCAGAATTTAGGGTATTAAAATCGAAGAGGAAATAAATACACTTTGTAATTTTTTTTGAAGTACAAACTATTTGGAAAGTCCTCAGTGTCCTCCATAGCATGGAGCTGTGCACGTATTAAGAAAGAGAAGAAGGGCTTGTGTGCTGTCACTGAAATTTAACACTGACAATGAGGAAAGTCAGCCAGAAGTATCTGCAGCACAGATAGGCACTGGTTGCATGCATGGTTTATACAGTGGTCCTCTCCTTTTAGTAACCTATCCAGTGTTATCATTTATGTGTCAAGATCCCATGGAACTGGTATACAACTCTTCATCACCACTGACAAAAAGTACCAGCACTACTTTAACAGGATCAGGCAGTAATTCCCATGACTCTCAAAACAACTAAAATCCACGGGAATGCAAGCTGGGCTGGTCCTGGGAACCTCATTTTTAGTCACCTTCAGGTTAAATTCAGTCAGTCAGTGTGTCTGAAATTATATATACTTTACTTGTGTATTTTATAGACTGATAGGATTCAATCTACAAACTTTAGGGGAAAAGTTTTTAAATCTTACTCTATATAAATATTTATAAAAGTTGCTTTATTCATAGAAAATTAGACTCTTTATTTTCCTTGAATTTATAGTGAGAGTGCCCTGCATAGACATTGTGTCTCTAACATAGAGTTGTAGACACTTAGTAGAGCATTGCTACACATTAGCAAAGCTAATCCAATTTACATCATCTGGGAATATGGTCCATAGGACCTAAGTTACACTAGAAGATAATAATAATTTCTTTCTCAAGCATTGTTTAGAGAATGCAGCCATTAAAACATGGGAAGTAATTAACATCTCAATATTACATATTGAAATTTAAAATATTGCAAAAATAGCATGTTAAGCATATATTTTAAAACTTAATAGGATTGGCATTTGTTTTATGGCAGTTAAGCAAATCAGATTTTGCATAATATGGACAAATCTGCAGTTTTCACCAAGTTTGTGTACTTATGTCACACCTGCCATCAGCACCAAGGTATTTTTGTATCACTTCTCCATTCTGTCACATCTAGATTTCAAGCCACATGGCACAGTTCTCATATATCTGAAAAGGTATTTTAAACCTACTGAAGCTAACAGGAATTCAGCCAGTTTATGAAAGGCATGACTAGGCTTCAAACATATCCTAGGACTCAGACTATTGCACTCTTCATCTCAAAAGCAAGACGGACACAAACTCAAACTGAATGAAGAAACTGTCCCTCCTCATGTTCTTATTCTTTTACTTGGCACTGAGCGTTTTTTCGAATAAATCCCATTTTCTTGTCGGCAGGCAGCTCCATTCATGTGGCCGATGCTTTCACTTGCACCTTCTGGTTGAGAGCCCTCTTCAGTTGTCTGAAACAGAAAGGAGACGTCAGTGGAGGCACATGCGTGTCTTCCATCAGGCAGCCACTGGGCCTGTCTCCCATTAGGTAGCTCTGCCTGGCTCTCTATTATTGCCACAATTCTTAGTTCTGAAAGAAATGGAACTGATTGTGTACAAATGTCTGTAACAGTAGGCTTGCACTGAAAACCTAATAAAATCTAGATATATAGCAAATAACTCATCAGGCTAATTTTTACACCCCATGGCAGCTGAGCTATTGCATTCCCACCCCCACAAGTGGAAAACCCACCAAGGGACAGTTCAGCAAGCTTTCCTGTAGAGAGGATGACATGTTTTTAAGGGTGTGAAAAATCATATGCGATTTATCCAGAGCTGAGGCTGCAACCTAAGGGGTCCTAATTTGGATGTTTGTCAGCCATTCATACTGAAAGAGTTATGGTGGAAACAAAATCCTTGGAACTATCTGAAAACCTGGACACCTTCCAGGCTGCAGGCTTGCTTAGAAAGTCAAATATCTTTCAGTAGCATGTAATACCAAGAACCAAGAGTTGCTGACTGCTGTGCTCATGACTTTGTGTAGCCCAAAGTCTGGTTGGTCTTGTTTGCACACAAGCAGATAAGGCAGGTGGCTTGTCTATAACATGTTGTTGGTCTGGATTACTCAGCTCTTTTTAGATTTACCCCAGTGAGACAGGGTTTCTAGTAGTGAGTAACTTTCTAAGCTCAGTTTCAAGGCACAGAGCCACTCATGCTACCAAAAATGAAGGCATGCTCTACCAAAGTAATTTATACTTGCTGTGCCAAATACCTATCTGAAAAAAGAATTTTAAAAATTAAAACATACTTTTCTTTTACACTGCACATTTGTAGATGCATTATTTTCTGTCTTCATTCCAGTGGCCTCTTCCAGTTCTGAAAAAAAAGAGTAATAAAATAACTAAATTAAAAAGAAGCATGGGGGAAGTAAGCATACCATTAATTTAGTAGCTGCCTGAAGTAAAAAAAAAAAAAAACAACAAAAAGCCAGCTATTTCTCTGGGCATTTATCACACAGAAGAATAACTGAAGAGAGATTAATACTTCCTAAAACATTTTTTGAGGCAATGTGATTAATCTATCAGGACTGTCTGTCTTGGGGGTATTTAGAGAAAAGAATAAAATTAGCAATGTGACTGTAGCACAGGTATCAGAGAAACCTTTTGGAGTGGAATTCTGCCTTTGCCCAGCAGGTTAATGGAATACTAACTTCAGCTGTTATATTCTTGGAAGATGGGAGCATTTAATGTGTAACAGGCTCCAAGAGCCTTTATGATAACAGTATAACTGATGTTATTTTCTCCTGGATTGGTCCTCAGGTAAAAAAAAATGGAGCCCAAAAAGTTTCAGGCTAAATTTGAGTGAGACAATCACATTCCAGTACTCTAGCTGAAAAACAAATAAAAAGAAAAAAATAAAAGGTAGAGCACATTATGGGAAATTACACCAATGTATCTGCAGTGTCTTTCAGGCCTGTGCTGAATTGATATATTCACTCCTTAACAAACAGCACATGTGACCAGAAATGAGTAATAACATTAAGTCTGTAAGAGAATGGCTCAAGAGCAGAATTTTGTCTAAAAGTTTGGATGAGGTACATATGGGGCTTTGTATTTATTGATAATAATTGTCATTAAGAACATCAGTTTGATGAATGGTAAAAAATGCAGTTGATTATTTTCCCTTGCATCTAATGGCCTAGGCTATGATGGTGTTTTATTGGGAAATGAACAAAGAAGAGCATTCCTTTGAGTCCTAGAGCACACATACCTGTAAGAAGTGCATCAAGTGTCTCCACTGTGTGTTGTGCATCTTCCTTTGTGAAACACATTGGTGGTTTAAATTTTAAAATATTTCTGTAGGGTCCATCTGCACTAAGAAGGATTTGATGCTCTTTGAGTCTGTGGGAAAAAGTAAACATCTGTATTAGACATAGGTATAAAACTATGTTGTGTCCTGTCACTTCCTTCAAGCTGAGACAGATTTTGAAAGTTTTCTTTTTTTAGGACTATGTCACCAAAAATTACACAAACTGAAAACAAAATTAATGACTAACTGCTGGAAAATATTAGGAGGGTTTGATCACTGCACAAGTCTTTAAGAACTCCTTACTTGTAAATAAGATGAAGGGCTTCAGCTGTGGCTGGTGTTCGCTTCTCCTTATCTTTCACCAGATCCACTCCAACAAACAGTCCAACACCCCTGGAGTAGAAAAGAGAAGTACAGACAAGTGAAATCTAAACCTTCTTTTGCAAATGCAATACCTGTTTCTAACAACTGTAATTCTCTTCCTGGAGCGCAAATGTGGGAACGAGAATGAGAGAGGAGACTTTGTCTTTGGTCGCCTTTTGGCAACTTCACACAGTCAAATGGGATAAGAGGTATTTCTGGATAAATAAACTTACCTGGCTCATTAAAGCTACATGGCCAGATAAGAATGACAGGATAATTTCTTTCATGCTTATCCTGAAAATCTCAAGCCAGGGAGAAAAATAATGAAAAAAAAAAAGTACAAAACCCTGTGACCCAACCCCTGCCCCCCAAAAAAGCTGAATGCAATGGTACCAATGGTATATTACCAATGGTAATAATATAAGATGAGGAAAATCCATAGTAACATCTCACAAGGAAATCCCAGAGATTTTAACAAGGTCTGCATGATTACAATGGTGTGCTGACATCTTGGTTATTGCACATGGATGGCTCTTTCTCCTACTCTCCCAGAACATTTTTAGTGGCTATGCTTGTATGTAATTAAGCAGACAGATGGACAACTTAAAAAAAATATATATTCCCTTACAATACCAGTTTTGGGCAGTCCATTTTAAAAGAGAGGTGTAGCAAAATCGTGGCATGTTTCTGTGTTCCACTCACACCAAGTTTGTCACTTTTTCTAGCACAGTTACTTTCTTCTCTGACATTGCTGTGATGCACCCACCTGATATCTCCCACTAAGGGATGTTTCTCCTTTTGCTCAGCTAGCAGCTCCAGGAGATAATTTCCTACACGTGTGGCATTCCCTTGGAGGTCTTCTTTCTCTATTACATCAAGCACAGCCAAGCCAATGGCACAAGACACTGGATTGCCTCCAAACTGATAGCAAAGGCAAAACAAAACATGGCATCAAAATCAAAACCTATCAAAACAAAACATTCATCAGTGGCTATCCATGTTGTTTTCACTTTCCCTCTCCTGCTTGGCATGTCATGAGGGAAGTTTGAAAAAGTGGAGATTTTGTGCATTTAGGCTGTGGAATTCCATACCCTACATTTGGACAAGGGAAGGGCTCCCTCTTCCTCTGCTCCAGGTTAAAGTAATCTGAAGATCTCAGGACTAAAGAATTCAGCTGATTGCATGTGCAGGCAAAATGCTCCTGGGAAGAGCAGTGGGTGATAGATTTGATATATTTTGATCCAGAGTGTATAAACTCCATTTAAAACAGGCATATTCATGGTAGCTGGGAAGAAGGCTGAGTCACAGGAGCAGAAAGCAGGCTCAGTAAACAAGAAGACTGAACCTCTGTGGCATGCACGCAGATGAATTATTTTCTGGTAAAGGGTCACTGTTTTGTTAGGTGTCAGTTGCAGAGCAAGGTCTGCCAGGTAATGAGCTCCACCAACACAGAACCTATCCTAGAAAATGTAATTTTACATAATCAATATTTAAGAGTGGGGAGAGGAAAAGAGACATAAGGAAAATATTATCTGCATGGATGTGAGCTGAGGTGCATGACTGCCAGAGAGCTTGGTCATGCTGCTGATCTTGCTGCTGGTCATGCTGATAGTGGTGGTCTATATGGTGATATTACACTTGATACAGAGTGTATTTCAAAGCCTCTCCACTTGCTTTTAGATACTGGACTGTGGTTAACTCAAGCTGTTCGTAATGTGATGCAGTGATTGCTGCAGATGTTATCTAGATCACCTGGAGAACTTCTAACTGTTAAATGCAGACCAAAAGAAAAATAAAAAAGGCAAAGATTCACCTATGAACTTACTGTATTGAAATACTCCAGTCCAGAAGCACCAAAAGCTTCAGCAATTTCCCTTGTTGTGACCACACAAGACATAGGGTGTCCATTGCCAATGGGCTTTCCCATGGTGACAATGTCAGGCACAAAGTCTTCACCTTGCAGCTGGAATGCCCAAAAATGCTTCCCAACTCTGCCAAAGCCAACCTGGACCTCATCAGCTATGAACACTCCACCTGCTGCACGCACATACCTGAAAAGAATCACAATACCTTGAAAGTCTAGTGCTGCAGAATACGGGTAGGCAATCAAGGACAAGGCAGTCTGCATCACAGAAATTCTGCAGTGTGAGACCAAGTTAGGAAAAAAAAAAGAAAGAATACAGTTACAGCTATTTTATAGCCATGAAATTTTTAGTATGCTACGTGTTAAGAAAATAAATTGACATTTTAATGTCAGATAGGAGTACTGTAATGGTACCATAGGATTGTAGCTGGTTTAACTTCATATTCCATCAAATTTATGGCTGAAGATTAAAGATAGGAAAAGAATTACAATTATCTAGCTAAAAATTAGCTGATATTCCATTACAATATTGAACTGAAATCATACTCTTCAATAAGCAGAAATGAACCACAGATAGCCAAGAATATAAAAGGTTAATAGCTGAATTGATTAGGTAAGTCTATAGTCTATAAGTCTATAGCAAAAAGCTATTTCTTTGTTTAATTTTCCCGTTATGCCCCTGTGAAGTGCTGTACGTACTCTGCCACTTTCTGGAAATAGCCCACGGGTGGAATTACTTGGCCTCCACAGCTCTGCATGGATTCAGCTATGAAGGCAGCAATCTACAAGAGACAAACTCATGTAAGAGCTGTGTTCATCTACTTGGCCTTGGCAGAGACATCTAACAGTCTAGAAATAAATGTTTAAATGTGGGCCTTAATTTAATCACGCAGTGGGCTGGACAACTGAGAGCTCTTGAAAACAGATATGGCTAAAGGATTTATTAATTTTGTAATCAGAGTGCCCAAATTTGCAGTAGCCAGGGCCACCTTTGCAGCCTGATGGGAATGCAAGAGCGTCCATTAAGCCCTTGTATTGAACTGGATGGTGCTTTCTGGTGTCACTGGGTGTTGAATTAGGCTCTTCTAGGAGCTACATAAATTTATTTAAAGGTGCCAGATTACAGGAGGCACACAACAGT